AAGGAGGCTAAAACAGAAAGGGGGAAGAGAAGAAGGGAAGAGAAGGGGAGGTGAACGGGGAGGGAGAGGGAAGAGGGAAAGGAGCATGAAATAAATAGGACAGATAGTAAACAAGTAGAAAGAGTAATTATGAGCCATCATACATCACTAAGATCACATTAATCCTAAATTTGCTGACTTAATGTATTTTGTTTTATGGCTATTTTTGAACAGGATTCTAGTGTATAGATTTACCACAATTTATTTCTCTTTTCAACTGTAAATGGACATTTTTTTCAAGTTTTTGACTATTAAGAAAAATGCTAATAAACAGTCTCATACATATTCTATTGCATATGTGTATGTCTCTAGGATATATATCAAGAGGTGGGAATGCTAAATCAAAGGATATTCAGATTTTTTATATTTTTAGATAATGCCAATTTTTTCCGAGACACCAATTTACTCACTGAACAAAACAGTAAATAAAAACAATTACCTGATACTGTCAGATTTTTAAATGTTTTTTTCTTTACCTGATGATATCTCATTGTGATTTTAATTTTCTTTTTTTTGAGTTGGAGTCTCACTCTGTCGCCCATACTGGAGTACAGTGGCTGCTCCCAGCCACCGCAGCCTCGACCTGCTGGGCTCCGGCGATCCTTCCGCCTCAGTCTTCCAAGTAGCCAGAATTACAGGCATGCGCTACCACGCCTGGCTGATTTTTTAAATTTTATTGTAGAGATGAGGTCTCGCCAAGTAGCCCAGGCGGGTCTCGACCCCGTGGGCTCAGGCAATCTACTCACCTCGGCCTCCCAAAGCGCGCGATTACAGGTTTTAATTTTCATTTCCCTGATTACTATTTAAGATGAACACCTTTTCCTGTTTATTGGCAATTTTGAATTTCTCTTTTGTGAAGTGAATGTACAAATCTCTTGCCCATTTTTCTTTTGTATTATCTGACTTTTACTCATTGATTTGTTGAAGTTCTTTATACATATTCAGGGTACTAGTCCTCCATAGGATATATGTATCTTCTACTCAGATGATTTGTCTTCTTACTATTTTCATAGTGACTTTTGAGAAAAGCAGTTTACAATTTTCATGTGGTAAAATTTATCATTTTTTCCTTTTTTTGAGTTGGAGTCTTACTCAAAAGAAGGAACAAGGCTGGAGTACAGTAGCATGCTCACAGTCACTGCAGCCTTAATCTGCTGGGCTCAGGCAATCCTTCTGCCTCAGCCTGGAAAGGGCATTTGTGTCTTAAGAAACCTTTCTCTATCCAAGTTCATGAAGACATTCTATATTCTAAAAGCTGTATCACATTCCTTTAGATATTTAGTTCTTTAACTCACATGAGATTAATTTTTTGTATAGCTTGACAAAAGAGTCCATTTTATATTTTCCCCAACATGAACAGCACATAAGATGGCACCATTGAAAGCCGGGCTCGGTGGCTCAGCACATAATCCCGCGCCTTTGGGAGGCTGAGGTGAAGGGACTGCCTGAGCCCGCGGGTTGAAGACACACCTAGGCAACTTGGCGAGACCTCATCTCTACAGTAAATCAAAAAATCAGCCGGGCGTGGTAGCGCATGCCTGTAATTCCGGCTACTTGGAAGGCTGAGCGGAAGGATCGCCGGAGCCCAGCAGGTGGAGGCTGCGGTGGCCGGGAGTGGCCACTGCACTCCAGTCTGGGCAACAGAATGAGACTCCAACTCAAACAAAAACAAAAACAAAACAAAACAAAACAAAAAGATGGCACCATTTACTAAAGATCAATCACTTTCCAAATGATCTGCCATTCAATCTCCATCACATATCACCTGTACTTTTTTTTTTTTTGAGTTGGAGTCTCACTCTGTAGCCCAGACTGGAGTGCAGTGGCCGTTCCCGGCCACCGCATCCTTGACCTGCTGGGGGCTCCGGCGATCCTTCTGCCTCAGCCTTCCAAGTAGCTGGAACTACAGGCGTGCAGTACCATGCCTGGCTAATTTTTGATTTAGTGTAGAGATGAAGTCTCACCAACTTGCCCAGGTGGGTCTCGAACCCGCGGGCTCTGGCAATCCACTCACCTCAGCCTCCCAAAGGCGTGGGATTACAGGCTGAGCCACCGAGCCCGGCTCACATGTACTTATATGCATGCATTTTTTTTTTGGACATTCCATTACACCGATCTATTTGTCTACTATTTGCCAACATCACACTATTGATGTTGGCACCCTATTACAGGATATTTGTAACATCCTGACATCTGATGACAAATTCCTTCCATTATGTTTCGCTACTTACAGGGTATCTTGACCTCTTAACCCATTGCATTTATACAGACATTTTAGAAGCACAGAACCTTATTAAGTTCTTCAACATTACACACTGGGATACTGACTAAAATTGTACTCTATAAAATTAACTTGAACAAAAGTGAAAACATTTTGCCCATACCATAAGCATAGTACATCTTCTCTCCATTTAATTTTTCTTTAAAATTTCTCAATCATGTTTTGTAATTTTCTTCTTATTGTGTATCTTGCTAAATATATTTCTAGGTACCTGATATATTTTGGTGCTGCTATAATGATATCTTTTTAAGAATTTCATTTCCTAATCCTTTTATCTGGTACATAGGAATCCAGCTGATTTCTTATGTCTCTCAGTTCAGCAATCATACACAATTCTTATTAATCCTAATACGCTAACTGTAGGCTCCTTTGGACTTCCTACATACACACCCAAATCATCCAAGAATAGTAAAAATATTGTTCTTTCTTTACTAGTCTTTTATATTCTCCCCACCCCCATATTTTGGCATTCTTGCATTAGCTGAGACATAACACTTTTTATATAAAGCAGTGACAGCAGGCTTCTTTCTCCTGTTTTGTATCTCAGAAACACTTCCAATGTTTCACCATTAGATTTGTCTTCGGATTTTTGTAGACACTCTTTGTCAAATTAAGGAAGCTACTTCCTATTCTGAGGTTGCCAGGAATTTTGTTTTAATCATAAATGGATATTTGATGAAGTTTCCCATCTATTGTGAGCTGATAATGATTTTTCTCCTGGAAAATGACATTAATTCTTTTTTTTTGAGTTGGAGTCTCACTCTGTCACCCAGACTAGAGTGCAGTGGCCACTCCCGGTCACTGCAGCCTCAACCTGCTGGGCTCTGGTGATCCTTCCGCCTCAGTCTTCTGAGTAGCTGGAACTACAGGTGCGCGCTACCACGCCCAGCTAATTTTTTTTTGATTTATTGTAGAGATGAGGTCTCGCCAAGTTGCCCAGGCGGGTCTTGAGCCCGTGGGCTCAGGCAATCCATTCATCTCAGCCTCCCAAAGGCGCAAGATTACAGGCTGAGCCACCGAACCCGGCTCATTAATTCATTTTTTTTTTTTTTTTGAGTTGGAGTCTCACTCTGTTGCCCAGACTGGAGTGCAGTGGCTGCTCCCAGCCACCGCAGCCTCAACCTGCTGGGCTCCAGCAATCCTTCCGCCTCAGCCTTCCAAGTAGAAAAGGGTGTTGTACTTCAAACAATGACGATCATTTAATTTACTTTTTCTGGTTACAGGCATGTGCTACCATGCCCGGCTGTAGAGATGAGGTCTCGCTGCCCAAATGGATCTCGAACCCGCGGGCTCAGGCAATCCACTCACCTCAGCCTCTCAAAGGCGCGGGATTACAGGCTGAGCCACCGAGCCTGGCCATTAATTCATTTTTTTTTTTTTTTTGAGTTGGAGTCTCACTCTGCCACCCAGACTGGAGTGCAGTGGCCGCTCCTGGCCACCGCAGCCTCGATCTGCTGGGCTCCGGCGATCCTTCCGCCTCAGCCTTCCGAGTAGCCGGAATTACAGGCATGCACTACCATGCCCGGCTGATTTTTTGATTTATTGTAGAGATGAGGTCTCGCTGCCCAGGCGGGTCTCGAACCCGCGGGCTCAGGCAATCCACTCACCTCAGCCTCCCAAAGGCGCGGGATTACAGGCTGAGCCACCGAGCCCGGCTCATTAATTCATTTTTAATTGTTAAACCAACAATGCAATATTTCTGAATCAAACTCAACTTTTGTACACTGCTGAACCTGGTTTACTAGTTTCTTGTTTAGGACATCTGAGTCTATTTTGTGGGTTAAAATGGACTGTAATTTTCTATTTCTGTAATATCTCAAAATTTTAGTATCAGGGTTATGCTAGCCTCATAAAATGAAGAACATTCCCCCTTTTTCCACTCTTTGAGTTTGTTTAAAGTTGACATTATTTCTTCCATAAATGTTTTATAAAACTCACCACTGAAACTATCAGAGCCAAGTGACACGTTATACCTAATCACACACCATGTGCTGCCTAAAATAGTGTCACAAATTACAGATTCTTCCTTTAATTACAGAACATAAGGCAGATTTGTTCCTATCAGAGACACAAGCCACTGCTAAGTTAGACATGTCTCTAAAGTGCTATTTTAATGGTGTATTCACTTTTTCACTTATATTACCACCACGTTTTCCTTTTTGTTACATGTGCATTGGTACGTTCATGAACAAGGGTTAAAAACAAAGAATTGCTAAAATGTGGCTCTTGCCTTCATCAATGAAATGCTTTCTTCAAAGCAGCTTCCTGGTTTAAAATTAAAATGCAGACCTCAGTATCATGGAATATTAATTAGGGTATCCCTGAAAAGTTAAAACTACATGTTAAATCCCCAAATACTAAAAATCTACTGTAAATGGTGTAGATCTGTAATGCTTCTCCTTCATTTTATAGCCTCTTTGTATGCACATACTTATTTCTGGAAAAGAGTGTTGTACTTCAAACAATGACGATCATTTAATTTACTTTTTCTGGTTATATATTTTCCTCTTTTAAAAAAACTGAGGTATAATTTAACATAAAAAAGTAAACTATAGGATTCTTTAAGGAGTGAACAAATAATATTAGAAAGTTCCAAAACTGTTAAAAATCACCAGTGATGAGGAGAGAATTCAACATTATAGATTGAGACAAATTTATGCATTTTTATAGAAATGCCTACCTTTCAGAAACAGACTCATTATGACCTGGTGACAAATTAATCTTTTCACTTGCTTTTTTTGAAGGGTTAGAAGGTTCACAGTTCACAGAAGTCATCCTTTTAACTGAACTACTAACTGACTCCCAATTCATATCCAAAGTCATGGTCTCTGAATTTGCAACCTATTAAATGGGTGAGAAAAAAGCAGTTGAGAGGAAGGTTACCAATTGTGTCCTTCCACACAAAATTAATAATAGATAAAATGTATCTTGGGAGACATTCTTGCATACATATAGCAAAAGCATAAACTAAATCACATCTTTTTTTTTTTGAAGTGGGGTCTCAACTCAGTCACCCAAGCTGGAGTACTGTGGCACCATCATGGCTGACTGCAGCCTCCACCTCCTAGACTTAGGTGACCCTTCTGCCTCAGCCTTCCAAGTAGCTAGGACAACAGACATGCACCATTACACCAGACTAATTTTTTATGTTTTTGTAGCAACACGGTCCTGCTATGTTGTCAAGGCTGGTCTTGAATGCCTAGCCTCAAGCAATCCTCCCACCTCAGACTCCCAAAGTGCTGGGATTTCTGGCATGAGCCATAGAACTCAGTCAAATCAACATGTATTTTTATGGCTAATAACCATGACTATGATTTGCATGTCCAAATAATTTTTTAAAAACTTCAAAAATAAAAATGATGGTAGAATTAACTTCCTAGCTTGGATGGAAAGAAGGAAAAATAAATACCAAGGTACATAGACAACATTTTATTCCTATTACATTAAATTTTAGGAATAAACAAACACTGTAATTTAATAAGAAAACTTTATTTTGCTACACTTGTAATAAAAAACAGAAACAAATCAGATTGCCAACTCATTCTTCCAGTTGGCGAGTTTACTTAAAACTTGGAGCTGAGACATTTAGTCCATACTTTGAGAACTTGCTACATTTAAAATAAGTATGTTAATTCAAATATATGAAGTGACTGCCCAACTCATGAGCTTTTCTAAGGGACAGCACAAACAAAACTATAGACACACAAAGGCAGAATTCTGAAATGTTACTATCTCTTTTATAGAAATTCTTTTTTTTTTTTTTTTTTTGAGTCAGAGTCTCACTCTTGTCACCCAGGCTGGAGTGCAGTGGCACACTCACGGCTATCCATTGTCGACCTGCTGGGCTCAGGCGATCCAAGTAGCTGGAACTATAGGCGTACGCTACCACACCCAGCTTATTTTTTAATTTATTGTAGAAATGAGGTCTCATCAAGTTGCCCACGCTGGTTTCAATCCCTTGGGCTCAGGCAATCCTCTCACCTCGGCCCCCCAACGTGCTGGTATTACAGCTTGAGCCACCGTACCCAGTCTGAAATGTTATTATATTTTAAAGTGAACAGATGCTATATAAAACTCATTAATAACTCCTTCCTCTGCCCACCTTCCATCTTGAACATTAATCCAGATCTGTACTTATTTGCATTTCTTTTGATTCCTCTTGACTACAACTCAAGGTTTTCTAGATGCATATCTGTATATGTTTTGTTAGATTTATACTTAAGGGATTCAATTTTTGAGGTGCTATTATAAACATATTCTTAAATTTTTCAAGTAAAGATAAAAGGAAATCAATTGAGTTTTGTCTATTGGCCATCTACTCTCTTTTTCTTCATTCTGACCATGGTAAGGCAGGGTGGGCTCCATTTCAGTTCGAATTTCCAAAATGATGGGCTGGAGTAAACTGAACCCTGAACTTGAGATTCACCAGGCACCACTAAACAGAGACTGAGTCCATGGAGCTATCTCTCACCTACTCATCAGCACCCAGCGTAAGCCCTTGGGTGTCCCACAGCCATGGTGAGGACAGAGCCTCCTCCTCAAGAGTCACTTGGAGAGGCTGCAGCTTCAGGACACCTGGAGCCACATGAGGAAAGGTGAGGAAACGCTTCCTTCTGTCGCAGCCTGATTGCCGAGGAGGAGCCTGGAGTGCTTCTCTCTCATATAATACCCACACATCTATTTAACAAACGTGTTCTCTCAGTGAGGCTTTGCTCGTTGTCATGGCAGGCCCAGATACATTCACATATTTAGAGTTGTTTCTGGAAAGAAGACTCGGCAACAGAAAAGTGCTTAGATGAAGCATCAGACTGGTGAAGCAGAGGTCAGGGGTAGGGTCGAGGTGGAGCTCAGGGGGTTGGGTGCTGGTTGGGGTAGAAATCAGGAGCAAGTTTGGGATGGAGTGGGGGTGTGGGTCTGGCATGGGGTTGGGGTAGAGGTCTGGGGTAGAGGTCTGGGTATAGGTCAGAAGCAGGTCGGATGGAGGTTGGGGAAGGAGCCGTGATTCAGGTCAGGAGCAGAGTCAAGGTGTAGGCCTGAACAGGGTCAGGATACAAATTGGGGACAGGGTGGGGTACAGGTTGGGGACTGGGTCGGGGTGAAGTTAGAAGAGAGTTGGGGTACAGGTTGGGGATGGGCAGGTACCAGGTACCACAGAGTCCCCTCTGAGCCTGAGGCCAGAGGAAACACGAACACCCTATGTAAACACTTTTATTCACGTTTTAAGGGTTCATTTTTCTTACAATGCTAAACTAGTTGCAACAGTATTGAAAAATAGAAAAGAGGGCACATTACAACTTGCAACATTACAGTAAGTCCTCTACATTTGAATGAGTTCTGTTCGAGAACACATTTGTAAGTCCAATTTGTTTGTCAGTCCAACTAAGTTAGCCTAGGTACCCAACTAACACAATCAGCAACAGGTTTATAATTGTGTAACAGGTTTGTAATACTTTTCACACAAATAATACATAAGCAAACAAAAATAAAACATGTTGAATCTTACAGTACAGTACCTTCAACTGTACAGTAGTACAGTACAACAGTTGGCATACTGGGGCTGGCATTGAGTGAACAGGCAAGAAGAGTTATTGACTGGGAGAAGGAGAGGGGGTGGGTTATGGTAGAGCTGAAGGACATGGGCAATAGGAAATGGAGGGCAAAATGCAACTTCATTCATGCCTGATGTTGATGGCACAGGTTCTGGTTCTATCTACCCTCTTGAAAAAAAAAGATTCAGTGATGTCTGGGTAGTGGCTCTTTTTTCTCGTTATAGATGACATGGTAGCACTGGGTTGCATTCTGAATGGCTGCTGCCACTTTTGTGTTCTGTTCTGTTTGGTTCTGGTACCTCCAAAACTAACAGTGCCTCCTCAAATAAAGAAAATCCCCTTGCCATTTCCTGTGTTGTGAATCTCTTCGGTTCTTCAGTTACTTCTTCCTCTTCTCTTCGTCCTTTCTCTGGACCTCCAATTCCATCAGGTCTTCATTAGCAAGCTCCTCATGTTGCACAGAAAGGAGTCCAATGAAGTAATCTTGCAGATCTAGCTCCAGCTTCTTGCTGAGGGTCACTAAGTTGCTGAAGACCTCTCTGGACTCCTCATCCATCTCCTCAAATCCACGAAAATCGTGAACAAATTGCAGGCAAACCCCATCATGGTGACAGTCGTCACCTTATACCAAGCAGTCAATGTGTTTTATGGCCTTGTAGATGCTATAGTCCTTCCAAATTTGTCAAAAAGTTGTTCCTGAGTCATCACTCATCTTTACTGCCTGATGAAAAATGTGATGTAAATATTTCTCAACAGTCACTGACTGTAATTCCTTGGTTTATAAGTTGGATGTGCAACATAGTAATCAGTGGCAGATACACTACTTTGATATTGGGATGAAAGTTATCCATGAATGGGGGTGGCCCAGAGCATTGCCAAGCAGCAAATGAATACTCAAGGTGACCTCTTTCTCCAAGCAATATTTCTCTACCTCCGGGATACAGTGGTGAAAAACCAGTCCTGAAAATGGCACGTGTAACCCAGGTTTTAGGGTTACTCTTCCACACAACAGGAAGAGAGCCCTTGGCTATGTTTTTAAGGGCTCCTGGGATCTCTGAACGACAAATTAAAAGAGGCTTCTGAGCCGGGCTCAGTGGCTCAGCCTGTAATCCCACGCCTTTGGGAGGCTGAGGTGAGTGGACCACCTGAGCCCGTGGGTTCGAGACCCGCCTGGGCAGCGAGACCTCATCTCTACAATAAAT